GGGTATTTGGGTCTTTTGTTGTTGCATATAAATTTTGCAATTCTTTGTTCTATTTCTGTTTAAAATGTTGTTGGAACTTTGATAGGGATTGCATTGAATCTATAGATTGCTTTAGGTAGTATGGACATTTTAACTATGTTAATTCTTCCAATCCAAGAGCATGGAATATCTCTCCATTCCTTTGTGTCTTCTATTTCTTTCAACACTGTTTTACAGTTTTCAGTGTACAGGTCTTTCACCTCTTTGGTTAGGTTTATTCCTAGGTATTTTTTTCTTTTTGTTGTAATTGTAAATGGGATTGTATTCTTAATTTCTCTTTCTGCTACTTCGCTGTTAGTGTATAGAAACGCAACTGATTTTTGTATGTTGATTTTGTATCCTGCAAATTTAGCGTATTCATTTATTATTTCTACAAGTTTTTTGGTGGATTCTTTAGGGTTTTCTCTATATAAAATCATGTCATCTGCAAATAGTGACAGTTTCACTTCTTCCTTTCTAATTTAGATTTCTTTTATTTCTTTTTCTTGCCTGATTTCTCTGGCTAGGACTTCCAATACTATGTTAAAAAAGTGGGCATCCTTGTCTGGTTCCTGTTCTTAGGGGGATAGCTTTCAGGTTTTCTCCATTGAGAATGATATTAGCTGTGGGTTTGTCATAGATGGCCTTTATTATGTTGAGGTACTTTCCTTCTATACCCATTTTATTCAGACTTTTTATCATAACTGGATGCTGTATCTTGTCAAACGCTTTCTCTGCATCTATTGAGATGATCATGTAATTTTTATTCTTCATTTTGTTAATGTGGTATACCACGTTGATTGATTGAACCATCCCTGCATCCCTGGCATAAATCCTACTTGATCAAGGTGTATGATCCAATGGCATCACCTTTAAGCCAAAGAATAAAAGATGATGTGTAAGATCCTAGGCACTCTTTATGTCCTCCAGTGGCAACTGAAGGAGGCATGAGTTTCAGATGGTGTACCAACAAGATCATGGGGTCTCCATCAGCCTTGCCCCATGTGACTTGTTAAGCAATGTTCCCTTCACCCCAGTGATCAATGTTTGATGTAAATCTGAGAAGAAATACATCTTTACTCAAGAAATTCTTAATTATTGCATTTAATTTATTACCAGAGCATTACCTAAGTTATCCTAGAGATTACCATGACCTACCCTCTCAGACTGTCTAAAAGATAATTCTTGCAGAACAGAATTTGCCTAATCTCACGTTGCTATGCTCGGAAGTAATGTCTCCTGATTGCTGCTTTTCACAGATCGGGTCCCTGGAAAGAGACTCGGAGGGGGAGTGTTCCATGTGGCAAGTCTGTGGGAGTGTTCTGGAGAGATGTGCCTGTAGGAGGTTAGCAAGGCAGGGATGGTTGTAGGAGAAGCTGACCCACAAAGCAGTCGCCATGGAGTCTCGGCCACTGTCGGTGTCTCTGGAGCTGGGATGGCCCTCCGGTGTCATCCCAAATTGGGACAAGGGAACCAGGCTTCTTATTCCCTTATCTGGCAGACATGGGCCTCTGGCTGTCCCTTGAGAGGGCTGTATCCTCGGGGTAGGCGGTTCCCTATGCTGTGGGCATGCCCTGTGAGGTAAAGAGCTGTGAGTTGTCATCAGCCACTATTCCCTGTAGCTGTGGGATGGAGGCATTGGCCTCAAGCATGACTCTGTCCTGAGCTTCAATGTTTCAACTGCACTTCTCCTTCACCATCGTCTTCCTTCCCGCCCCAGGTAATAATCTCACAATCTGAGGAAGTCTGGGATGGCGTATGTCCAGCTTCTGCCTTTCCCTATGATTGGGTAAGAGAAAGGCTTTGGGGAAGACCAGATCTCTCTCCAGAACTCAGACCCTCTTACCTGGGGGCTTTTGTAGAGCTCCAGAAGTGTTCCAATCTCGGGTGAAAATGCTAAAGTTGTTCCTGTAACAGTGGCCACAGATTTGCTTAGAGTCTGGCGGTTGTAGTTAGGGACAGTCTGATGACCCCAGAGAGCCAAAACAGGGTGCTCTCCGAGGTCTTGTGGACACTGGGACAGGCACTGTAGAGACTGAAACCCAAGGACAGGATGGGGAGTCGAGGGGGGCTCTTGTTGGTCTCCTCAATGGTGAAGGCAAGGCAGTACATCTTGGTACTTCTTCAAGAGCCACCTAAAGCGAGGGGACAGCATTTGTGAGAATGGTCAAGTCATGTAACTCAGGGACAAATCCTAAGCCAAGCCAACGGAAAGGCAGGGTTTTAGACTCTGGTTTCCTATTCAGAGATTCTCCTCTCTTGGCATATAGAGGTGGTGTGAATATGGTTCCCAGGGCTCTGGAAGACCCTGGCGTGGCTCTCTCACTGTGATGAGGCAAATTGTGTCCAGATCACCAAGAGAGGTTTGCAGGGCTCTGTGAGCGGGGTGAGGTGGCATTTAGCTGGTGGTATAGCTGTCAGCTGGACAGATTTTTTGTTAGCTCCTATAAATGGAAGATGCATCAATGTGTGGACCAAATGGCAAGACACTCTCTGAGTGAGCAAGGAGTACAAACACCATCTCATAAACCATTTGGAAAGACTTAGTTGAATCCCAACGTGATCTTGTTTCACTGTCCCCCCCTCAGGCCTGGGATGGTTTCAACAGCACCTGACTTCTCAGTTCCTCAGACATTTTCAGGATTTCTTCCTGACACCATATTCACCTGAGGCATTTCAAGGGACTTACACTATTATTTTCTCTTCTAATTAGTCAGCTCTTAGGAAGCCAGTTTTGGTAACTTCTATTTTCCTTGAAAAATAAACATTTCATCCAGACTTTCTAATTTCTTTACTCATGGACTTCAGCAAACTGTTTCCAGTTTGGAAACCCAAAGGTGCAATAGATTGTCCCTTCTCTGCCACAGCTGTACCCACAAGCCTTATTCAATGTTGCTACACGCTGGGTCAGCTCTCAGGAGCATCACAGTCCTGCAGGAGACACTCTTCGGACTCCTGTGCCTTTGTCCCAGCCCTGGACTAGCCCTGGGACCTGCCATTTCTCTTTCTTTTTGGAGGGAAAGTACAGCCTTCCCAACCTTCCTTTGGCAAGTCACTTTCCTGGATGGCTGCGTAGTGTCAGGAAGGGCCTGGGCTGCCGGGAACCAGGATTTGTCCTCAGCTGCTGGCTGTCCTGAGAAGGCCTCCCTGACAGAGTCCAGCCTGTGTGTCTGGATGACACTTGCAGCCATCAGAAAGGAGGGGATAACTCAGAAGTGTCAGCAGTTCATCTGGCCCTTGTCTCACAGGATGTTTCCAGGGGATGAGGTTCAAAAGGCTGGGTGGTAACCCCTTAGCTCCTGGTTATGGGGCAGGCTCTCAGCTTGAGCTCAGAGCAGTGTCTGTTTACCACCCAGATGGGAAGCATTTCAGTATTTTACTTGGTAAGGCTGTGTCTATGTACATCCATGGATCATAAGTTTGGTGGAATTCCCTGTGGGACCCTCCCCACACCCTTCTTATGCCTCATCTTTCAAAGCTCCCAAAAGCAAAGGTTCACACCTCCATGATGTAACCATAGCACAAGATTGTGGAAAAGAACACAGCCATCCCAGGGGCTCCATGCTTCATGAGCTCGGGCCCAGCTACCACTTTAGGAAAATTCAGTAAAAATACAACAGAATGTGTAAACTCTGATTGTCCGAGACCATGGACCTCAGAACCACACAGGCCCAGATGTCACCCTGGGCAGCAAGGGAGCCTGTGGGGTCATTTGCTGGTCAGGATTCTGGTCTGTTATCCTGGCAAACCAGAGCTCACCTGGGATCCATCAGGGCCAGCCAGGGAGGAGTGGCCACGACGTACCTGACAGAGAGGCGGGGGGCATCTAGGGAACTTCTACCCTAAGAAAGAATTGTGTGAAGAAGCGCAAGGTGCTGGAAATCCTAGTTCACAGGGAGCATCGTGTTTATGGAGGGAGGCCCAGCTGTGGCCTTAAAAGCTGCAGCAGCAATCTTTCCCTTTGGACAGAAAACAAGCAGGAAAAGGACTCCCAAGTCATGGACCGGAATCCCAGGAGGATTCAAGTCTAGATCAGGGGTGAACACGGAGCCCCTAGAGGAGCCTGAGGAGGGAAAGTCCTGCCTGCCCTTAGTCCATTTGCCAATGGCCTTCCCCTTGCCTTGTCCTCTCCACACGCACATTTTGAGCTTTTTACTTGATTAGCCCCACTTAGAGCTGATGCAATTCCAGAGACTGAATCAGAAAACTAATCTTTGCTCAAGAGAAACCTGGAGGGCCAGCCCCGTGGCTTAGCGGTTAAGTGCGCGCGCTCCGCTGCTGGCGGCCCGGGGTTCGGATCCCGGGCGGGCACCGACGCACCACTTCTCCGGCCATGCTGAGGCCGCGTCCCACATACAGCAACCAGAAGGATGTGCAGCTATGACATACAACTATGTACTGGGCCTTTGGGGGGAAAAATAAATAAATAAATAAAATTATAAAAAAAAGAGAAACCTGGAAAATGTTCCCTCTTCCTCCAGAGAATAGAAAGGCAGCCACTGTCCTGGGCAGGACATGGTCCTGGCAAGTGCTAGTTTTAAAGACACCCCCGTCTCAGTGGCTGTTGCTCTGCCTGAGAAAGTCCCTCCAACCTCTCAATCCCGAGAGATCTGAGGGCCCGTCTCTGCCCCCGGACCGGGGGAACCACACTGCAATGAACCTGTCCTCTGAGTGAGGGGAACTCAGGGGTGTCCTTCAGCAGCCAAGGAGGGGACTGGCCCTTCTCCCTTCTCCATATACACTGAGCTGATGACTCTGCGAGGTCTCTAAATTCAAGGAGGAAATGTGAGACTCTGTGTCTCATTTCCATGAGCACAGGGAGCGAAGGAAGCACACCACCACACCCAGGCCGTGAAAGAAACAGGAATTTAACATAATATTCAAATGTGGCATTTACCATTGACAACAAAAAATATGTTCCCTCCAAATAGGTGCCGGGGAAAAGGTGTGAGGGAGATGGGGCGGTCGTCCCCTCTCTTCAGAGGACCCCAGGAAAATGATCACGAAGTTCTCCTTGTCATCAGAATGGGAGGAGGTGGCCCAGTGGACCCTGAGTGTCCCAGCTGCGTCCCCACTGCTGAGGAAGAGGGTGTAGTTCCACTGGTCCCAGGAGGGTCATCTGCCACTGCCACCGGGCTCCTTGTTGGGGGCCTCGTGTCTGGATAAACAGAGGCATTACCTTGGGGGCCTCCCCCAGAATCACAGCCCACCCTCCCCTCCCTGCCCCCACTGCACTCTGTGCTCCAGTCCCTGTGCTGAGTGCTCAGTCAGCCAACAGCACCCCATTTGTCCCTGACATGGGAGCTGTCACTTAGTATCACCCACTTCACAGAGGAGGAAACCAGTCCCAGAAAGGTGAGGGGAATCGCCCATGACAGGACTGCTCAGCAGTGGAGCTGGGACCCCAGCACCAGCTGTCCGACTCCCCAGGCCCACACTTTGCCTGAATCTTTACTGAACCCCTGGATTCAGCCACTGCTGGTCCGGACACTCACCCAGCCCTGAGCGGGAAGATGACCGGTTCTTCTCGTCCTTGAAGAAGAGCTGAATCTATCTGGCCCACTGGAACCGGGGCTCAGCTGGCAGGACAGGCTGTAGCTACAGGAGAGAGTGGAGCTGTGAGCCACCAGGGGCCACTCCTCAGGTGTCCCTCCCAGAGCCTGCCAGCAGCTGGAGTCCCAGTGCCGAAGCAGTCACCATGCAGCAAGACCTGGGGCTGACCATGGAGCCACGGCCACGGGCTCTGGACTGGCCATCAGAGAGAGTCTGCCCTGCCCTCACCCAACTCCTGCTCCGCCTCACCGCTCATCCTCGCTAAGGGGCTCCATGGCCTGGAACCAGGCCTCAAACTGCTCCTTGCGCTGCAGGTTGTACGGATTTGCAGCCTCCTGGAGCAGCTTGGTCTCCTCCATTAGTCTGAATTCCTGGGACAGAGGAAGGACAGGATGCAGACAGGGCCTGCGTGGGGGATCCTGCAGGGGTCTTGTAGGGGGTGAGGAGAGGAGAAGGAGCCGGTCTGGGGTCTTTGCCCACTTGGGAACCCCTCTTCCCTCCAATTCCAGTCAGGACTTGCCTGCTCTCACACTTGGGTTGAAATAGCTCCTCCTCCAGGGAGGTGTCCTTGATGCCAGCCCTTCCCCCACCCGCCAATGTGATGGGATCCCCAACTCCGTGTATCAAACTCTCCAAATAATTGTAAGACCCAAGGGATTGGGCTAGAGGGGGTTTTGCCTGGCAGGGGGGTCTCTGATTCCCACACCCCCACCCTAACCACAGTGGGGCCGCTGCTGCTTACCTCATTCCATTCCATTCCAAAAGTGGACCACATTCCCCTGGAAGGCAGACAGCCAAAGTCCATCAGAAACAGCCCCTTTAGCCCATAACTAGCCCCCATCCCCACCCCTTCTCATGTTGCACTACCACCAGCGGGCAGGCACTTCTAGAAACAGGACTTGGACCTGGGCCAGGCTCTGGGCTCCAGAGTAGGGGGACAGAGGAGCTGAGGCCAGAGACCTTGTAGCCCAGGCCTCTGATGACAGATGGGGAGACTGAGGCCTCAGGCAGGAAGGGACAGCTCAGCCTCTGAAGTGCTTCCTGACTTGGAGGGGCCTGGCTTCTCTCCCGCCATGGGCAGGGCCTGAGGGAGAGGCTCAGGCCAGCGCAGACACAACCTCCTGCAGCTCTGCAGTCAGGCAGCGCTGAGCCTCACCAGCCCAGGGTACCTGGACGGCAGCTTATGCAGAGCCTCCGTGCACTCATCACTGAGATGGGCCTGACGCCCCGGCTCCCAGGGGAGACTGGGAGGCTCTCCCGAGAGGAGATTTGCCCAGTGCTGAGAGCTCAGGGCTCAGCGTGGGGCTCTCTTCTCCCAAACCTCAGGATCCTGATCCCCTGGCCCCACATCCAGGCTCACTCACCTCCAGATGATCCTCCAGTGCAGTGTCCAGCAGCTGCAGGTAACTGAAGTAGGTGCCAAGGAAGGAGATGACACCCTGCGCCATCAAGGAAGGGGTGGTGATGAGCCCCTGCTCTCAGGTGCCCCCAAACACCCTCCCCTGACACCCCTCACCCTAGCATCCTGCCCACCCCAGGCTCCCACATAAGGCAACCTAGGACCCTTAGGGGCCCCCACCACACACAACTCCCTCCTCCCCTCCCCTTAGGAACACCAAACTCCACCAGCCACTTCCCAGGGCTGGCTTTCAGCCATCCCCAGGGTGTGTGGTGTCTGCTCCCCCCGACCCCAAACCCATCCTGCTCCCAGCACTTCCAGGCCTGCCTCTGCTCACTCCCAATGTAGACACTTCAGGCTCTGTGGCCCCAGGAGCTGGGCTGGAGGAAGAAGGCCCCTCTCCTGGTGGAGGCCTCCAGCTGGGAGGGGGGAGCCCCCTCTTCTCTGACTCCTGGGCCCCTCCCCCACAGGCACCCTCACCTGCTGCTGCTGCCTCTCCTGTGCTCCCTGGGGGATCTATCTGCAGGGTGGCCAACACAGAGGTCGCCTCCTGTTGGTGCCGAGGACAGCGTCAGTGAGGCCACACTCCCTCTACGTGTCCCCCAAGGCCCCTGACCTCAGGCTGGACATCTGGCTCCATCACCTGGTGCCTATCCTGCTCCCACCTCCAGGGTGCTCTGATTCTAGGTCACTCCCAGCTCCCACTCTCCCTCCTGTGTGACCTCACGCCTGCCCAGGCCTCTCTGAGCCTCTTTCCTCGTCTGGAAAGTGTGAGGAGAACTTCACCGGCCTCCAGGGTCTCCTGAGGACTCAGTGTCATCTGACTGTCATCACTGCTCTCCCCTCACCTCTCCAGGAGGAGCCGGCACACATCTCCCGCACATTCCTCTCCTCCCTTGAACCGCGTCACCCCCTGTGAGGCCCGCACCACAGATCATCTCCCTCCATTTCCCAGAGGAGGAGACCGAGGCCCACAGAGGGGCAGTGACTTGCTCAGGGACCCACCAAGGAGAGGCTGCTCCCCCTCCCAGCCAGACCCACCCTGTCCCCCAGCCTTTACCCCACCCCCAGCCCCACCACTGAACAAGGTCCCGGCCTCTGGACTCTCAGAGTGCATCCAGGCCCCCAGCCAGGCTGAGACGTGGAGGGAAAGGGACAGGGTGTCTGGGGGCGCCTGGCGGAGTGGCTCCTGCCTGCCCCACCCTCACAGGGGTGTCTGACCCCAGGCTGGGCCTGTGGCCTTGCCATAGGCCTCACCTCCTAGGATCCCCTCAGGATGTTCCCCTCTTCTCTCCCTCTCCCCTCCATCCAGATCTCCAGCCTCCATGTTACCTTCACGAGTAGAATTTGGGAACTCTCCCTGAGGAGAGGGGAAAGTAAGAAAGAAAAACTGTGGGGTGATTGAAGGGCAAATCCCTTTTGTTTGAGAACCCAGAAGGTCCAAACAGCCTGTGGCCTGGATGAGGGTTTTCACTGGGTTCCTCTCAGACCTGAGGTCCCCCGGGGACTGGGGAGGGGCTCTCCTGTTGTCACTTGGGGCCTCCATTCCCCTATCTACTGAGCAGATCTGATTTGAACAGTGTTGGCTTCAACTGGATAGAGATTTCTGCTGCTGCAAAGGAAACACTTGAAAATCTCCAACTGGGCTCAAGCCAGGATCTGATATTTAAGGAAATGAATTCTTGAAGCAGAACTGCTGGCCTAAGGACCCAGAGAGACTCAGAGACCCAGCAACCAGATCAGTCCATGTCTCTGGGGTTCGCTGTCTTCCAGGTGGTCCCAGCTGACTGAGGGGACATGCTAGCCCTATGCAGGCTGCCTGGTCCACCCTCATGGTGCTTGGATGGAGAGCAGCCTACCCACCTGGAAAAGTGTCCCCATGTCTTTTTCAGACAGTGAATGGTGGGGCTTTACAGAGCAGAAAGGATGGCATGGAGGGAAGAGAAGGTTCCTAGGCCTCGGCACTCCAGGGGAAGGGAAGAGAGTGAGCTGTGAGGGGGAGCTGGAGCCCTGCTTCCTCTGGCTTCTGTCCCCTCATGGACTTCTCCTGTCCTAGATGGGAGAGATGCCCAGGGAACCCAGGGAGGGCACACCTGGGACCCGGTAAGTAACACTGCCAGGTACAAGGATTTTTAGCAACACAAGGAAGGAGCCCAGGAAGGAAGTGAACTTGCTACCACTGGGACCTCAAGTCAAGGTCAGGGTGGGCCTGGCAGGAGGGCCCTAGGGACAGTGCAGGGGATCAGAGCACAGACTTCAATCCTGAGAGCTGAGAAAGGAGAGGCAGTTCCCACGGATACAGAGAGGGCCTCCCTGGGCCCCCACGACTCACCTCGGCCACCTGGATCCAGAGCTCCACCCACCTTGCCCTGTCCTGGGCTGTCATGCTTGGGTCCCTGAGGCAGGTGGCGATGACACAGTTGGCTACAGTGATGGTGTGTATCACAGTGTCATGGACGGTGGGTGCCAGGTACTCGTGGTCCCTGTCGTCACATTGGGACCAGATGGAACCCAGGCAGTGGCCGGGCATCAACTTCTTGAACAGCTCCTCAGGAAGTGTGGGAAAGGAGTGTGACCCGGCACTGCCACACCCCAACTCGGTGTCCACAGTCCCCCACAGTCCCAAGCAGGGTCAGTGGTGAGAGCTGGAGCTCAGGAAGCAGAGCATGTGGTCTGAGGCTCGTGGGAGTCCCTGGGGCTTGTCTATGTCCACTGGGGGCACCCAGCACAGGATGACGCAGGACACAATGCTGTGGGCAAGGGAGGTGGCACTTGCTCCCAGTCCAGCCTCACTTCCTCCAAGCACCAGAACGCAGCTCACACCTGCCCATCTCAAGGAGCACCTTCCACCCATTCTGATCACCTTCGGGTCCCACAACCCATTTCGATGCACATTCCCCCGAGGCAGGGATGACCACCGGCCTTGTTTGTCTCCCCTGTAGTCAATACACATAGGATGCCCAATAACTGCTGAGGCTGTCGAGGCCAGCTGGGCAGACGGGGGATGGACCCAAGGACCTGGCCGCATGTCAGTGAGCTCCCCTCCCCCACCAAAGGGCAGACGCTGCCCAACTTCCTCTCTGCTCCACCTCATCCATCTGTACAGACACTACTCAGTGGGTGCTCTTAGCGTCCATCTCTACTGTCCACGTGGGGACAGCAAAGCCTTGGCGGTTAAGAAAGTTGCCCAGGTCATAGTCTTGGTAAGTGGGGGAGCCGGGATGTGGACCCAGATCATCAGATTCCTATCAGGGAGTGGCAGGCCTGGGGAGCCGATGGCACAGGGAAGGCTGGCCCCACCTGCCCTGAGAGCCCCGCTGCTCACCGCATCTATCACTCAGCTTCTCTGCCACCAGCTGCAGAGGGAACTCCAAGAGGCTCAGCTTCTCCTCCCTCAGCAGGGTCCTGGTGGTCACAGCCCAGGGGCAGGCGGGCTCTGGGGCTGGATCTGGTGTGCTCGTTATTCGTGCAGATGAAGCTGGAAATCTCACCAGAGCCCGTGGTCCAGCTGGCTCCAGCATAGGAGCTGGCACTGGGGCTGAAGTTAACGGTGGTGCTTGCTCCAGCGCTGGAGGGGCTGACGGAGGTGAGGCTGTCTCCAGCTCTACAGCATCTGGTGGAACTTGAGCTAGAGCTGGCTCTAGCCCAGGAGCTCGCCCTTGCTCTGGCTCTGGAAGTGGCAAGAGCTCTGGAGCTGGATAAAGAAGACGTTTCACCCACATACCCGACTTGCCCTGTGCCTTTCCAAAGACAGGAAAGACTCCCAGAAATCCTGCCCTCGGTCCAGCCAGGTTCCCACTATAGAAGAGACAGCACTGGGAGGAGGCAGATGGGCTGCAGAGTCAGAGGCCCAGCTTTTCCTTCCACACTGCCCTCCCAAGGGAATTTGGTTGGATCTGGGCCCTTGTGCCTGCCCCTTCCCATCCAGGGGAGAGCCCCATCCCAGCCCTGAACCCTGTGAGGCTGTCCTGGCAGTGGCAGGCCTGCTCATCCAGCAGGTTGAACAGAGTCTGTGTGAGTTTCTTGTTCCCACTGACACCCTTCTCCCAAAGGGCCTGGACACAGCCCACACCAGCCCTCCATGCATGTGGGCAACTGGACTGAGGACTGTGGCAGATTTGTGAGCAGCTTGCTCATGCATCTCCTGTTCTGGACCTGGTGGTGGTGGTCAAAAGGGGTGGATGTGGAGAAAGGGAGGCAGAGTGAGATGGGACTCTGTGGGGATGGTTTCTAGGGGACAACTTAGCCCAGCCTCCCCTCTGGTTCCCAGGGGGCCAGGGACCCATCCACAGCTCTCTCTGACTTCTATCCTCCTGGAGTTGAAGCCACCAGACCTTAGCCTTCCCATGGGAATCAAAAGATAAGTGAGATGGAGGGTTCTCCCAGGCCCGCTCCAGCCACAGCCCCCATACTCTCCCTCCACCTTGTTCTCTAGAGACAGGAGGCCCTCCTTCTGGACACAAAGACCACTCACTTTTTTAGGTGGTCCTGTGGTCCATCATCCCGCTCACAATGTGGGAAGATGCCTCCAGATGTCCAAGAGGGTATGAGAGCATCACACCAGATGTCTGGTGGACAGGACCTGCAAATGACGTCAAGTGTGACGGTCTGACTCTCAGACTAGAACTGAGGCCCAGGGATGGTGTCTGCTTCATTCACTGAGTTATGCTAAGTGTCTCCCAAAGTCCTGCATGGAGTAGGTGCTTAACAGACATTGTTGAATGAACTCCAACCAGAACCATC